TCGTGCACGAAAAGAATAATTTGTGCCCGCAACATACTGGAGTGTGAGATCATTACTGTGTTTCTTCCTCTTTTATGACACTTGTTTTTTTTATCATAACTTTTGTTGGAATTGCTTAGAATGTACATCACACACAAATGCTCGCGTCTTCTCACGTTAATCATCGATAATTTAGTTTAACACAGAATAAGTTTTGACATTATTATTGTCATGTCACAAGTAGCATTTTTTAATGTGAAGGATGAATGCTATGTTTTCTTGCCAAATGTATTTTAGTACAATTTATCACGTAGCTTGGCTTATCGTGGTTTTTTATTTATGACTAGAGAATGTATGCAATACTTTCGGCAATTAGTAAAAGCATCAGGCAATATTTACTGAAGTCATGCGTGTACCTAACAACGAGCATGAAAATGTTTTTTATTTGTCATTCAAGATTCTAATAGCAAGTTAGCTTCAGTAAACAGATTAGTGTTTCGGAAAGTGAATCAAATGGTTTAATTTGTTCACTTGCGCATCTGAGTGTTGTTTCACTAACAAAAACGAATTCACCATTTGTCGTAAGATATCTATATAATCAATCACGCACTATGAGAATGTTAGCGTGCCTTTTTCCTCTAAGGAATTGAGTTGAAGACTTTGATACCTCTAATATATTCATAAAGTAAAAGCAATGTTCTTATGTTTGATTGGCGTTAGAATTTCTTAAATGAATGAATGTTTTTGTGTTTATTGGGGCCAATATCCCTTGATTTGTGTGATGACAAAGTCCCATTTATACATATTTAAATGCATGCCTTAATTGAGGTGATACTGAACCAATTTGCTTTTAAATATAAGTCTAGCATAGCGGTGGTCAACAGATCACAAGAATGGTACTGTTGCTCTTATTTCCGCTCCTTTTACATGGTACTCAATCCCTCACACTGACACCCATTGATGTTATTACCTCCAACGTCTGCACCCATTTCAAAATCACTAATTTTAATCCGAAGGAGATGAGTTTGGCAGCCTCACAAGAGTGTGGTTACAGTCGCAGTTGGTATTGCAGTTCAATTCTGGTAACTTGGTTGCGTAACATGAATTACATCAGTGGCATATTTTATGTGGCAATGCTGGCAAACATAGGCAGCAACTGCTGTCCTAGCAAAATTTTCACAGTGATTGCAGACAATTACTCACACACCCACTGCCACTTTTGGCATTGTGATTGTAGCAAATGTGTGGGCGATTCTATTGGCAATCTTTTTCAGTGCTACCTAATCTAGCGAAAGCTAAATTCATGACTTGCACACATCCAGACGTTTTTGACATAAATCAGCATTGCTTACAAATAATTAACTTATAAAAATTGTCATTCAGAATAGCATTGCTCAAGTATTTTTGATGTATTTTGTTCAGAAACTTAGCATGAGAAAGATGAAAGTACTAGCCTCCTTGTCATTGACTCAGTCTGAACAATGTTTTTGTTCACATTCAGGTGTAAAGTGATGTCAGCAACTTCTTCGGATAATTGAGACGTCGACAAGGGTTCGATTTGTCCCTGATTAAAACGTGCTTGCAATTAATTTGGTTATTTTTATTAGTGATACTTTGATATCGCTAAGAGAAGCCAAATTTTTGACTTTTGAATTAAACACGAAATATATTCCGCAAGTCAAATCTTTAGTTAGTAATCTTTAAAGCAATATTGATATCTGTAATCAAGGCTAACAATTTATCATCCTGGTTCTTGACCCTACCTGAACAGAATGCAAGATGAAATACTTTGTTTTCACTTGCAGATGACGCGTTAAACAACTCAGCGTTCATATCTTAAGGACATTCAGCAACTTTACCGGATGATTGAGACGTCGACTGATGGTCAAGCCTCGATAATCTCCGTCAATGAAATGTCAGTGCTAATCTCGTTGCATCCAAAATCTGGTTATAACGCACACGCTGATTTCACTGTGAAAGTGAGTTCCTGTTAAGCAATTATTGTAGAACTCTTAAAGATTGGGAGGAATTTTAGTGGGAGTTTTTTTTCTTGATTATAGTCAACCACCAATGTACCTTTAAGCCACTTCTGTTTTGAGTGCTAAGAGATGTCGGGCTCCAATTCTGTATGATGTCGATGTCTCGCTGATTGCTTATCGCTTGGCTTAAATGTTGTAATCAGCGGCTTTAAGGTGCTCTTGAAAGATACCGGGCTTTGTGGGTCCACTCAAAACCTACAACATCGCTGGCGTTGAGACTATGTACATAGTAATGGCATTAAGATTCCCTCAAACGAATATGTAAACGTTTATGTGTCTTATGGTGACACTTAATTTTGTTTTGCAGATTAAATGTCCATTGTCCTATCCAAAAGACTATCCACAAGTGACTTTCAAGTCACCAATCTTCCATCCCAACATAGACAATTATTCGGGCAATATTTGTCTAAATCTTCTCAATGAATGGCTTAGGTATGCCATGGCTTTGTATTCGACAATAGCTACGGTATATGGGGGTGCTGGTATAGATACCTGGACACAAAGTGATCCAGGTAGAATTGGTGGGTGAAATATGCGAAATACTAAGTGCAAACTCTTGCCAATACCTAGTAAATGTAAAGTCTAACCGTCATAAGAGGATTGTAATTGGGAGTGTCATGCAGAGTAAAGTCATGCTTCTTGTATCTACTGGCGTGTTGTGTGTGGGTTGCAATCAGGTTGCCTTATTGTGCGTTACATTTACAGAAGTGCACCAAGTGGAATCGAGTTTTGGTTGAACTTGTAGCTGTTACAATCTGCTGGATGTCGTGAAGTCTATCCTCTACCTCATTGAAAATCCAAATTTTGAATCTGTAAACAACTCATTTGGATACATTGAGAATAGAAACCTGCTGGCAAAGAAGACGATGCGGGTTTTGGCAGGTTTGCCAGTTAATGGGGAACGGTTTGCGCCGAACAAGGCATGGTGTGAGTGGGCAGAGGCCCATGGATGCCTTCCAGTTGGTGAGGAAGAGGATGACGACGAAGATGATGTTGGGGGAACGAATGAAAGCAGGCCGGAGGCGAGTTTCGTGGATGCCGTGCAAGAATCAGACAGTGAGCATGGCAGTATCCGTAATGACCTTGCCCCTGCTTACAAAGTAAGTAACGTTGGCTACTTATTAGTTGTCAGCTCTGTTCTCCTGAGGCACACCACTGCAGCAGAAGGTCATTTTATGTTCTAACGAACGTTCAGACAGTTTAATTTGCAACCAGTTACCAAGTCGACTTGCCATTAGTGTTTCGGTTCATATTTGTTTGCGAGTTTGTTTCTAAAGTCGTGTGTTTGGTGAGGTATCTTCCCATCAATTGATTTTAATTTGTAATCTTCTACAGAAAGATGACAATGAAGACTTTAATTATGGTGCAGCCGTGTTCGACGAAAATGTTCTGTCATTTGCAAATATGCGATTCTCCGTTGATTCAGAGAACGACTCACAAGTTTCACCGCCCTTTGAACGCGAATACACACTTGGATACATTGAGACTCAACGCATTCTTATTTGGCATCCTGGATGTAGTCCCAATGCCAATATCCCCTCGGTTTTCTACTTCTGTGAGCCCCTCGGTGATGATTCTTATTGGATGGAGTTTGAAGATCTTTACAACATGCTTTTGACAGGCGATGTGTTGCACTCGATGCAAAGTCATCCTGAATCAAGACAAGCATCAAGTCTATGTCCGTGGTACGATTTCTTTCAGCCTGAGCACTATTCCTATCAGTCGCACACCAATTCCGTCTCCGACCTAGCCGTCTTCTTTTCTGAAAAAAATGTTAACGAGGCCCATACTGACCGACGACTTTTGTCCGTGGTCTCATGTAGACGGAGGAGGAATTTGGGGCATCTTGGGTGGGCTGTTTTGTGAGCGAC